AACAAATAAATTCAAAGGGCAGACTTGATGAACCACTGGATCTTTTTCTCCCAGCAGTTTTTAGATTTCTGTGTTATGAGAAGGTTGGAAATAATAAGGAGGATCACTTGAGGAAGTGCTGAGTATCACTTCCCCTGGACTACAATTATCTTCCTTTTTTTTTTTAATCCAAGTGCTATTCCCTTAGACTCCTTTTCCCTGATTATCCTAAACAGGAACAGGAGAACAGAGAAGGCAGCAGAAGGCAGCTAGTCGCTTCTATAAATGTCAACCATAGATCAGTCAAGAGAGTTTATGTATGTTTGCATGATAAAAGGGTTTTGCAGAGTTGGTTCACCCAATGGAAATAAAACTGGCACAGAGGAAATATTCTGGTAGGGCTTCCTGTTCTACCATTTGTACCTCTTTTGAGCCAAGAAGCCTTTGAAAACCCTACTAGAAGTATCTATCATCACATCCAGGGTGTGTTTGTTATTATTCAAGAACACGGAAGCAAACTATTTAGCCTTTGTCATGTAAGGAAGAGTGCTTATCTTCCCGTTTGAGTTGGTGGCCATGAGGAAGGAAGAATTTTCTAGAACAGAAGGCTACCTAGAACAGGGGTGTCCAACCTTGGCAACCCTAAGATCTCTGGACTTCAACTCCCAGAATTGGCGGGTGGGGAATTTTAGGAGTTGAAGTCCGCGGGTCTTAAAGTTGCAAGGTTGGACACCCCTGGCCTAGAATTTCACTTGATTTACCTCTGCCTGCCATTCGAGAAGACCAACCTCACCCCTTGGCTTTTTGCTTCCCAGAAGATCAATAGTTTGTTTGGAAAAGCATCCAAGGCCATCCTCATTTCATCCCCTTTGGACTCCCATCTCGGAACGCAACTCCCCTTTGTGTTCAAGCAGGGGGTTGGCCAGGGAAACTAACCTGCGTAACTCAACAGCGTGTGGAGTGAAGAAGCCACTGTCCTGTTTTCTCTCTCTCTCCTTCCACAGATGTTTGGGCGACATCCCCCTGGAACTATCCCTCGGCCTCCTTGGTTTTGTGCAGCCTGTTGTCTTTTCACCCAATCCATCTCATTTCTTTGTGTGTGACTCTAACCCTCTTCCTCTCCTTTGTCTCTTTCTACCTCGACTATTGACCAAACTTGGGATGAGTGCCATTCGTGATTTGAAACTGTGGCAGCTGCTTTTTGTCACAAGTTTTCAACCCTTTTTACACAGTGACCAAAAACGGGGAGGTGCATTGGAAGGTGTTTAATGGCATGGGAAGGAGCGGGGAGAAGTCTTTAATTGTGCTCCAAGGAGAGGCATGAGACCAAACATTTTTGAATAGCCTCCTGCTCAACATTTCTGAGTTGGGTTTACTTTAAGTGGTGGTTTTTCTCCCTCCTGCTGAAGTGAAGGAGAAACGATGCTTTTTGCAAAGAACCATTCCCTTCATTGCTTCTTAATGTCCCTCTTTACTCGTGAGATACCTGAGTGGCAGGTGTGCTCTTTTCTCTCAACGGCTTCTTGATGTACAAAGGAGCACATGAATGCCGAGGCAAGAGTCAGGGTTGGGCCCTCCTGTGTTTTGGACTACGAGTCTCATAAAGCCCCCTTAGCATGGTCAGGGCTTATGGGTGGTGTGCCCCAAAGTCCATGGACACCTGTCCCTTCCTTCCATCTATTCGAGACCAATGAGCTGCTGTGTAAAAGGAGGTTGTGTTCCTTTTCCTCTAGGTTGCATGGACAGTGTGGTCGTCTCCTCCTCTCTTTTCTTGGGTGGGGGCTGTTTGTTGACTTTTATAATAACCATAACTTCTTTTTTCCTTCAGCATTGGTCATTTGAGACTTAACACCCACGAAGGTCCATTCTCAATTTGGTCCAGACTTTCAAAGCCCCTTCCCATGAAGAAGTGAAAAAAGGGCAGGGGAGGAACAAAGAGGAAAGATGTTTACACTGGGTTTTTTTGGGTCTGGATCCATCCTCATGTCTATCCTGACTCTGAGAAACCGACTTCCCTCTGTTGATACAATTCCTCCTTTGAGTTCTGAGGAGGAAGCATCAAAACTGGCAAATCTGGATTTAGAGTGAGATCAGAATTGGGAAAAGCTGAAATTCGTGCAAGTTGTTTAATGCTACTTCTGTTTACCCCAAAATAAGCTTCATGGAGTTCAGTGGGAAAACTCTGCTTTTGATTGCAATCATAAAGGCCCCTTTCGCAGATTGGCCTAAATGCACGAATGCCAAAGGACATCACCAATGGATGGGACTGGTGGAGGGGGATAGATTAAGAGGAACTTCCATGGCAGAGCTGCATTTACTCATGTTGTCGGTTGCAAAACTGGCACTGTGGTGGAAAGAAGGAAGGAAGGAGGGAGAGAGGAAGGAAGGAGGGAAGGAAGGAATAGAGCATGAGGAGGGAGGAAGGGTGGGAGGGAGAGTTGGGAAGTTTGGACTGACATATTCAGTGGTCTCCCACCTCTAACTGGAAAGAGCATGTTCAAGCCACAAAATGTTCTTCCCCATGGCCTTTGTGACTCACTCAGGAAGCTTGGCTCTGTATCCAACATCTGTAATGACACCCCAACATTTTTAGGGTCCTTGGAATCTCCTCCTCCTCCCTTCTTTTTCTTTGCAAATTTCACTCTTTGCCTTGTAGCACTGATGACGTTCCCTAGTTGGGTCCTTAAACATCTGCAAGAAAACCACCAAGCTCAGAGAGCACCAAGCACACCACACGTCCCCCTTGTCCTCCTCCTCCTCTTCATCTTCCTGTTCCTTCTTCCTCTGGAATTGGTTGGGCTGGGGAAGAGGGAATGGGCCATGGGAATGGGAAAATCAACCTTTGGAGTGTGACCATTTTTCAATCGCAAGAAGGCAAGAAATGAGACCAGAGGGGTCCTTTCCTGTTTCACCTGCAGTGGGTTGGCCTTCTCAGGTCACTGCCTCCTCGGGGGGGGGGAGGTCCATTTTTTGGCATGGCTTCCGTTGGGTCCCTGGAGGGATAAGAAAGAAGGCAAAGGGAACTCTGTCCTTGTTTCTTTTCTTAGAGATGGCACGAACACACCAGTCATCCCAAACATGAATGGGCGTCTCCAGGTTTCCATATCTGAATCCTGGGAAGTTATTTAGATAATGTCCTGAGACAGAAATTCCTTTTTGATGGTACATAGCAGGAGTGTAAATACAGACTTCCACTCGGATGTTGTGTTTGGCTGCTCACAAGGCTTCCCATTGAATGATACAAGTTACATTTGGTCAGGAGGAGCTGTGACCAACAGCAATTGGACCTCTTCTTGTGAACATCTCAAGAAGGAAACTCAACCTCTTTCTTCAGGGTATCTTCTGCTAGAGACTTACAGGCCTCTACTGCTGTGTCTCTTTTCTTAAGAACCTCAGAGTAGCTACTCTTGACTGAGACTATGGATAAGGCTCCACTTGAATAAGATTGCTACTCTTTTCTTCCCCACCTTCACAACTTAGGAGCTGTCAGTATCTTTTCTGCTTCTAAGTACAAATAAAATGCTCGATCATGACTGGTGAACCTGGAAAAAAAACCACCCCATTGAATATAATCCACTGGAGAGAAATTCTAGAGGATTAGAAGTTCCTGTTAGCACTGGAACTTCTTTTGATCCTCTGAGGGGGTCTTTTCTTCCCTTTGGCTTTTGGGGTTTCTTTGTTTTTGTTTTTTATACATCTATGGGTACAACAGCAACTGAATTAGCAGCCATCCCAGACTTTTGCATGCTCATCCTATAATCACCCTAACATCATTTAGGGCAGGGGACTCCAACCTTGGCAGCTTTAAGACTTTTGGACTTCAATTCCCAGAATTGGGCTGGCTGAGGGACTCTGGAAGTTGAAGTCCACAGATCTTAAATTTGCCAAGGTTGGAGATTCCTGATTTAAGGGTCCTATCAGAAGAAACCATTAATTTCAGGGGCGCGGCCCTTCTCACTGAGAAAAGCAAGGAAGTGAAGGAAAATAGAATTCTCAGGGTGTTTTCCTGAAAATTTGATTTGGGTTTCAACTTCTCTTTCATGTCGGCTTCTGTAGGATCTCTTTAACTGACTGTTGTAGTTTAGGCTCCCATAACAAAAGGAAGTGGGGGAGTGTCCGTGTGCACATACATGTGTGCACATGTGTAGATGAACTGAAACAGAAAAGTGTTTAGACTGGAACATCAGCAAAACCCAGAAGTTCCGCTGCGGCAGAGGGGGGCATTCAATGCGCGAGTTTCTTGCAGATTCCAGAATGCTGAATGTTGAAATCTGATAAGAAACCGAAGAAGGGCTGTGTGATTGTCCACACAAAGATGTTGTGTTTTCCCCCACAAAGGGGAGGGAGGAGAAAGAAAATGTCGTGTGTTAGCCTTCCAGGAAAAGTGAGACAAGGGATCATTTGTATGTACTACTTTGAGCTCCTCAAGGAACATAAAAGATTTATTGGCACTTTTAAAATACTCAAACTCTGCGAAAATTAAAGGCAAAGCTCCTATTTTCCTGTCTACACTCTTGGCCACAGGCTCAGGAGATTAACCCAGGCCTCCTGGTTTCCAGGCAGATCCTGAATTTGTCGGGCGCAAGAAATCAGGAACCAGGGTTATTCCACTGCGTACAAGTTTATCCCACACTAAACGGGAATCTGTACTACTAACGGTCCAAGCCAATTGGCGGTAGATGAGGGTCAACGAAATTCAAGGTGGGCTGGGCTTAGATCTCTTCTGGGTTTGAAGGGATGCCAAACTGATGACATGCTTTGCCCCTCCTCCCTTGGGCTCAACCTGGTCATCTACTCCAGAATCGTCTTCAAATCTTTTTTTTTTTTTCCTTCATGAGAAACTTTTAGGCTTCAGTGAAAAGGTGGAGGTGGAATGGAGTTTGTGGCTTGAAGGTGGCCCAACCTTCCGGATTGAGCCACAGGAGCCTATTTGAACCTGGGTCGGTTGTGGGGTGTCACTGTGTATTTGCTGAGTCGATTGCTTGCCCCCATTCAATGTGCAATTACGCTCATTTTGGCAGGGGAGCCCAGCGCGCCAAAGCTGGAAGGCCACATGGGAGGAGACGGGAACTCCATCAAAGTGAGCCTCATCAAGCAAGACGACGGGGGATCCCCCATCCGCCACTATCTCATTAAATACAGAGTTGTAAGTCTGGCTGGCGAGCCTCTCGGTCAGCTTCTGGGGCTGGTTTTTAATCAGGGGCGGGAGTCAAAAATCCCAGCGACTGGCTCGCTGCCCAGTTGCTGGGTGGGTGTGGCCATGGTAGGCGGGGCCTACTGGAACTTCTTGTTTCCGGCTTCCAATGGGCCTGCAGAGCCCCGGGGAGGCTGTTTTCACCCTCACAAAGGACCAGAGGCCTCCCTCAGGCCTCTGGGAGGGCAAAAACAGCCTCTCCCGGCCTCTGGAAGCCAGAAACAGGCCTGTTTCCGGACTTCCAGAAGGCCTGGTTTTCCCCCTCCCAGAGCCTCTGCACAGACCCTGCACTTACCTCCATCAAAAATGAGTCGTGTGGAGACTCCTGGGAGGAGAGGGGCCAGCCAGTCGGTTGAAATACCGGTTTGGGGAACCATCCAGTTCTTCCAAACTGGTCCAAACTGGTAGAATCCCACCCCCTGTTTTTAACCCTCGGCTGATAATTAAAAGGAACAACCCTTAGTTCACGTCAGTCAATTTGCCAGATAAATTTGTCTGCATTTGGAGGTTGGAAAAAGCAGAAGAAATTATTTTGTTGAGTGAAAAAAATATTACCGTAGCTTTGGGACTTCCTAGAAAAAGGTGCCTTGTAACGAAGCCCTGTTTCTCTCAAACTCAAAATCAAGTTTAATAAAGATAAAGAAGATCACTTTAAAAGACAATGCTACTATAATGTCATTCTGCTTCCCCCTTTTTCCCTCTGCACTCTTTCTCTGAAAAGGATTGAGTATTTTCAAATACCTGCCATATACTTCACCCTTAGCTTCCTTTGAAAATGTCTTATTTTTGCAAACCTTCATTCAACACCTATTTTTTCACTACTCCTTTGGAAAGGAAGATGGGAGAAGCAGTAGCAGAAATAACTGCATGCCCCAATTTGCGCAGGAACTGGTCAGGCACAAGCAAGGACATTCTGCTGGCCTCCAGAAGTCTTTTAAACACCTCACTGGGGAAGCCTCAGTGTTTGGGCTCAGCAAACCAAGGATGGGTGGGCTTGAGAAAAAGGGAACATGGAAGAGCATGGAAGTAATCCCCAATTTCTGTGTGACCTTGTCTTCGAAGGCATCACCAGCTGCCAGTGAAGGTCTTTGATGCATGATGTTCTTCCGTAGAGCTTCTAGGTGCTACCTTTGTTGGGGTGAAAATGCCTAGAAGTTCTAGGCAGGTCTACGATATCCCATAATGCAGGGGTCTCCAATCTTGATAACTTTAAGACTGGTGGATTTCAACGTCCAGAATTCCTATGGCTGGCTGAGGAATCCTGGGAGTTGAAGACTGCAAGTCTTAAAGTGGCCAACATTGGAGTTCCTTGCCATAAGGGATGCTGCCATTCCACCATCATTTATAATGTTGTTAGCTCTTACACATTCCATATTGAGCAGGGAAAACCTTCAGCCAGTCCTAAGACAGATACGCCTATAGATACTCCTAGACTTCTCCTTTATCAGGTGTCAAGTTCTTAGATACCCCATCTCCACAGAAAGCAAGGTTCTCTGGGAAGTCCTTTACTAAAGAAGGATGGGATAAGATCACAGTGAGTTGATCATCCTCCCTTCCTCCTTCCCTTTGGGATTTAATGGATCTCCTAGATTCCTAAGAAGACCTTCCCAGTTGCCATTGGGAAGCTGTTCTGTTAATGGCCTGGTGGTTAGCATGGGGATTTGTCTCCAGCTTCAACAAGCCATGATGTCTCAGGACAGCTGTGGCCGAGGGGCAGAGCAGAAGACCCTCCCCAGGTGGGCAGGTCAAGGTTCATCCTTGAGTGATGTCCTGCTAACTGGACCTTGATGGCCTGACCAGAGAAGAGCATGATTCATATCTGCTTTGGTGCAAAAGCCAACAGTGGAAGGGTGCAAGGGATGGGTTGGTCTTCCATGTCAAGCTTCTGAAACTGAGGTAGTTCCCAACTCCATGGTGTTCATGCCTCCATCCTCTTCCTCCCTTGCCCCACACCTTCCCCTTTTCTGCAGAAACAGTCTTCTGACTGGAAGCCAGAAATCCGCCTCCCTTCGGGCAGCGACCACGTCATGCTCAAGTCGCTCGACTGGAACGCCGAGTATGAAGTCACCGTCATCGCAGAGAACCAGCAGGGAAAATCGAAGCCAGCACGCTACGCTTTCAGGACCTCAGCCCAGCCCACCACCATCCCAGGTAGCCCCTCATTTTCTACCTCCCTTTTCCGCTTGAACTTTTAATGCACTGGCACCACATCCTTTAATGCGCTTCCGTTTAAAACCAAGACAAAAAAAAAAGCCACAGAAACTCTCCTCGGCCACTCGCTTGCTTTCCGTCATCCTCATAACTGGTAATCCATCTTAGAACTTAGCTCTTCGGCCTCGTACATACCGAAAGGGCCTGTCTGCTGTATGTATGCTCCATCGATGGTCGGTCCCATCAACCCCCCTCGGCAACTCTTGAGATGGTTGAGTTTGTTGTGCATGGCTTTTGAGTTTGGTTCTTCCAAGCAAGGCACAGAAGCAAGTGGGAAAATCCACCAGTTTGGGTCACTGGTTTTTCTCCACTTGTCGCTGATGGTCCCCTGCCAGGGGCCAAGATGGTAATGGTATGGCAAAGGCTGGTCAACCGTGCGTCCAGGAAACCTTGGCGTTCTCTGCTAAGATGGTTCCTTCAAATGCTTGGCTACAAAGAGCTGAATACCAGGATGCAAATTAAGCATGTATTTATATTTAGCTCCTTTGTATCATTGGTTTTGCTTTGGGTGGGCAACCACTAAAAATAGTGCAGATTTTACCCCTCTCTGTCCCCTCACCTTTGGAGTTCCTGGCAGCCCTAATTCTGAAATAATTGAAAGGGTAGAGGAAGAGCTCATAGAAAAGATGAGGAACTCTACAGCTTCCTTCCTTCCTCCTTTCCTTTCCTTTCCTTTCCTTTCCTTTCCTTTCCTTTCCTTTCC